TTCAATCGTTTAGTTTAGTGATATTATTCGTCATTAAGGGTACCTCAGTATTGAACATGAATTTCATAACAATATCTTCTTTTTCTATTGCAATTATCAAAATAATGCTTATTTTTAAATACTAATAGGAATACGCATTATTTTAGGAGATATTAAAGAATAAACGTGACATATAGCGATTGATGTCTCTGCGTAATTGCTGTTTTAATAAGGTTAAATTGGACAGTGGTCAAGGGGCGATAACCTTTTATGTTTTATTTCTATTTCTGAATTGTTATTCATATACATGTATGAGTGTATGGTATTTCGGGATACATATGTTCCGCCATTAATTTTGTTCAACATGTGTGAGATATCAAAGCTAAAGCAAGTTACATCATTAACATGAGCGATTCTTGTGCAATAAATCTAGATTGCAAAATAATCAAAAGCGATGTTATATATCAAAAATGATGTGTCTAACCTAACAATAGCAAAAAAACAAGTTAAATTTTCTGATGCTTTGATACCATTGGCATTTAATCTCTCAATATGATGGTTTCCTGTAAGTTAATGGACGGACTCGGTAAACAAATAATAAAAGATGTTTGACTGATTTGACGCACGCATTCAACAAACATTATATGTTTTGTTCTTTTTTGTTAAAGTTGTGATCGTGCTTTTGACGGTAAGCATTCTGAATTCTGAACAAATCACTGATACTTTTTACTTTACATTCGTGTAAATACCTTTTGCATTATAGCATTGATAATTAAGCTCACGTGACTTTACCCTTTCTGATTCACTAACATCTAAATTTATATTGCATATTGACGGGTGCAAAATAGGTATCGTGTTAAAGGGACAGAACCCGACAGGAACATTCTTTGAAGGAACCTCCCGAAAGACCCGTATATTGCTGTTCATCATTTCAAAAAAAAGTATTTTCAAATTCTCAACTAAAACGTTACAAAGATTTCAAAATATACGTGTTTTATAAAGTGTTCGTGAATAAATGTTAGGTATTTATCTACAAGTTATAACGATAAGAACATTTCGAAACATTCCAATATTGCACTTTTCGCAAAGAAAAAGTTATTTCTCGATCTCGCTTTAAAGATCCTGTATATTTTGTGATTGATATTGTTACTGTGTGTATACCACAGTTGCAAAAAAATATGTATGTATATAATTATGCAAATAAAACAATTTTCAAACATCAAAGAATATGTAAAATGTGTACTGCAAATATTTGTGCACATTATATTTAATCAATAAATTATATGCATTCATTTCTTATTGGAAAATTTGACTTAGAATTTATAGAAAATAAATTTCTAATTACCTCCCTTTATTTACATGAACTGTTAAATTCGGTAATATCTGTATAAATAATGCTTTTTGGAACTTACAATATTGACAAATCTTAACTTGAGAATCATATTTATGAAACAAAACCATGAAAAAAATGTGTCACAGGATCTTTAAGTACCAAAAAAACTTCATGACTGCACCCACTCGTGACTTGATCTTATTCACTGCCTATTGATGAGGAAAATAATATATCATGATTTCAATTGTTTTCAACATACATGAATAGTATTTATTATTCACTACAAGGAAATAGAAGCATAACGATTTAAACAAAAACATATTCTAAACCGGACGTAACTCTTGGCCTTCCTGGACAATTGTTTGCCATTATAACATTATATAACGATGCTTTATTATTTACTGTAACAGCGAATTTTTCATCATTTCATTAAAATTAATGTTATATTCCATTCCTTTACAAGAAAACTGCTCGGCATATAAAGATTGGGATGAATAAGCATGTGGGCTTCGATTTGCTTTGCCACCTGCTGTATTTATTTGGCGTGGAACGTTATTTCTTGTAGAGATTAGTTTTGTTTTAATAAAATTAAAACAATTATTTAGAACGTCTTATAAAAATATCCTGACTTCCTATTAGTAGACTACAAAATTAGACCTTGTGTATTACACTACGATATTTTCAATATGCATTTTACTTTTTTGTGTGTTATTGGTAAAGAATTTGTAGCGTAAATAGTTCTAATTGATGGAAATGCTTGTTAAGAAAATGCTTTTTCTTCATATCTTTAAATGGTAAAAGTTATATTCAAATGACTGTTACAAGTATCTGTAGAGTATTTGTTTTCATTTCACACCTTATTAACTTTACCTAATGAACTTCTGACATGTTCACTTCGTGATGATTAATACAAATCATTATTGGATTTAATTCTATCAATTAAGCATTGTTTTCCACAGCTCTAAGGAAATCCTATCAAATCCAAATTGCACTGCATCTAGCCTCGTCTTCATTTTCCTCAAATAAAATCCATATGTAGATCTACTCGAAGAAACTGTGTCGGTCATTGATACAATAACATTGTTGATTCGAAGCATTTTCTTTATTTTATTTCCATTACTCTTGAGGACTGAGTTCTGCGAAATAAATACTCCATTATAGATTGTTGAGTACCATAAAGACTCTTTTGGTTTCGTACACAGCTATTCAAGCTATAGTGAACGCGACTTTCGCCTCGTCAACTATAAGTTAAACAGCTCTGAACGAGTTGATCAGAATTCAATATTGCACTCAACAATGTGTAAGAACATGAGAGTGTCTTCATAGAAATTAAATGAAAATGTGTAAAACTGAAATAATTATGCCAAAAAATTATATTAAAGAAGATCATGATTGCACCTTTTGAAATTTTGTAAGGGCTTTCTGACAATATGTATGTGTGTTAAGTTATGGAGATAATTTTAGCTAAACAGCAGCAGGTGTAGCAGCAACAACAGCAGGTGTAGGAGAAGCAGTAAAAAAAGCAGTAGTAGTTGTACATGTAGTAGTAGAACTAGCAACAGCAATAGCTGTATGAGTAGCATTAGTGACAGTAGTATAAGTAGCAGTAGAATAAGCAACAGTATTAGCATTAGTAGTAGCAGCAATAGAAGAAGAAGCAGAAGAAGCAGTAGCAGTAGTGGTAGCAGTAGTAGCAGCAGTAGCATTAGTAGAGTATTAGCAGTAGTTGCAGTAGTAGCAGTAGCAGTAGCAGTAGCAGTAGCAGTAGCAGTAGCAGTAGCAGTAGCAGTAGCAGTAGCAGTAGCAGTAGTAGTAGTAGTAGAATTAGCAGTAGAAATAGCATTGGTAGTAGTAGTGGTATATCAGTATAAGTAGTAGTTGTAGCAATAGCTGAAGAAGCAGGAGTAGTAGCTGTAGCAGCATCAGGACCAGCAGAAAAAGCAGCAGCAGCAACAGTCGCATTGGCATGAGCCGTTGTAGTAGTTGTAGTAGTAGTGTAATATGTGTTATCCAATTCATATGCTTTGTCCGAACATGAATTGTCCGAACATGAATTGTACAAGTAATGCTCACCTTATTACAGAATTTTAATCCATATTATTTCCATTATTACTTATATTATGTCATTGTTCACTTCAACAACACAGTTTAGAACAATGTTAATTATTTTGTATCTGTTTAGATCCATAACTGTGTGTACAATCATAAGAAACATTTTGCACTCGAATTTGGCGGCCATATTGACTTGTTCTACTACGGTGCAAGAATATTGTTGTCATCTTGATATATATGCTAATACTTAAGTTTGTGTTACAAGTTGAATTAGAAATTGATTGTTAACGTATATTTTTGCATTACATATGAAATACTACAATGGATGAATGCTATATTGTATTTGAGAGTAATTGATTCTAAGGAACTATTTAGGGCACTTGTGCGTAAGAAAGTTGGCAAATGTTGGCAACTATTATTTCTATATGTCAAGAGTATTTTTGATATATTGATAAATTAATGATTATCAGTCATTATTTAGGAACCTCTCGTAATGTTTAACATGTATTATATTGTATGTATGTCGAGTGAATGATGTTTATTTATTTGAAAACATTGTAGAACCTGTTTACGCATTTTTATGTTTGCAAGTTCTGATTGGCTGACGCTATGTTTGCCAACATCCGACAGCTATATAAGGGCGGCTGTAACCGAAAATGGCACCAGTTGCAAGCTTCCAATAACTTCCATAGTAACCAAGGCACTGGGGAATATTTTCAAAGAAACATCTTATTAATCTATTTTATTCAGTAAGTTACAAACAAAACATGTTATCCCTAAAGAAAACAACAATCCTTTAAGTGTTTTAGTCCCGTTTATTTACAATAAACCGAATTAATTCCGTTTGTTTACATATGCCGAGTTTTGTTTACATAGCAACCCCGTAGTCAAGCTTTTTAACATCAACACTATGCAACTGGTGGTCCCCTTTGCTGTTACAACCGCACGTCTTAGTAGATAAATTATAAGTTCTTACATAATTTATTATTATATTTGATGATATAAACTTGAATTTGTTATCTTCATCAATACAGAAGAGATTATTTAAACGTTAATGGTGTTTCTTATTATTAGTTTTCACACTAGCTAAAAACCCTTAAAAGTCAGCTTGTAAGCTTGGTGGCTTACAGTAGTAGATGGTGGTGGTGATGGTGGTGAAGGTGGTTGACCTAACGCCCTCTTAGTATTTAAAGGTCGTCATCTGGTCATTTGTCCAAAATTACTTCTTAAGTTATTGACCGTACAAGGATCTGAAACACTGTGTTCACTGTGATCTGGACTTAGCAATCAATGGGGATAATCTTCATGGTTAAGGCCTCAGAAACAGACATTTCTGTTGACAATAAGTTGCTTACAAAAAATCACTGTGACCTTAACATGGACAATGTTTCCTTTAACAAATTTTGACTTACGTACTATCTTTCACAATATGCCCCCTACCAGAAGAGCAGTGCATATTAATATTCCAGCAATTATTTTATTCTTAAGATTTATCTTTATATTTTCAAAATGAATTTGTTTTCAGACTGCGGAGACTATGGGTACGGTAACACTTACAAAGTTGAATTCGATACAATTCTAGGAGGATTTAATTCCAACTTTTTCGTTAGAGGAATGTGTCCAAATGTATAATATGGAACAAAGCTTCGTTTGTAAAACAGTGGATATTACAAGCCAAAGCAAGTGTCATTTGTTAGTGGAAACTCTTAACACAAAGCCAGAGGTTCGAGAGACGAATATGAATAAATATACTCATTATACATACTTATTTACCAGGGACTGCAACTAGGACTGTGATCCCAAAATGTATCAAGTTATCTTTCCCTATCTCAAAAGAAAAAATCAGGATCAAATGTTTCTGATTCTGTTTTCATTTCTATATAAAACATTAAACATTAAATGATATGAGACAAAAATAATTTTGTAAATATTCAATACCTAAAACGTAAATGATTTGCAAAGGATTTTCGGATACTATTTGGTAATTAACAAAATGAATACACAATGATTAAAAAGATCAAATAAGTTTCCATATATTTTAATCAACTTTTTAATGGGTATATTCTTAGCTCACCTTTCAATCATTTAGTTTAGCGATATTATTAGACAGTATGGCTACCTTTATATTTAGTGTAAATTTCACAATAATTGCTTTTTCTATTGTAATTAACAAATGATGCTTATGTTTAAAAATGATTACATTGTTAATTAATTCAGTGGCGTAACATCTTACTCCGCAGTGATCACATTGGCTGGACGCATGTCTTTATGTATTTTAAAGATGATTTAAATAAAAGATAACTAAAACAAGATTTATGTTTATTTATGTAAATGAGTAAAATGTAGTTTCATACTGTTTTTCAATAAGATATTTGCAATTTTCTCTCTTCCTATCTTTATGCAAAAAGAATGTAAGGCGCAATGTTGAAAAAAGGGAATAAACAAACTTGTGACGAAAAAACGTGAGTTGACTGCTCCTACTAGTTAAGGATGAGATGGATGAATTGCACTTGACCGTTTGTCCCGTCCGTCCCGTGTAGGTCCTTAGACTGAGTAAACAATTAAATATGGGGATCCCTATCCTTTCGGACACATTTTCTAATTGTATAAATTGAAAAACAATATCTTTATTCTAACTGAAAAGTTCAGTAATTTAAATTTAGTAATTTTAGTTGATATATAAATCAAATATCGCATGGTATATGTATTTAAAGGTGTTGTGTTTTCAACGCAAACATTCGAACGATTACATAACGTGATACTCATTGTTCGGGTTAACGTTAAGCACATTCCATTGATTTAAAGGAAGGAATGAGTTTAATAAAAATGTATTCACACATTCTAGCTTCTTTCCTACTGGATGCTATATCGCCTTAAAAATACATTGTCTTTTATTTTCTCAATAAGTCGTTGCCTATTCGGTGATTTGTTCCCAAATAATAGGAGCAAAGTGTTTATATCTCCACAAATGACATGTTTGTGTCAGCGGTAAAAATTATAAGAGTCCTTTAAGATTCGCTCCCATGATTTGCTTTGTTTATTTGGGTTTCATGTCGATTTTTACACAATGGAGGCTTGTTCACCTTACTGGCTTTCCTCAATAGCTAACCAGTAATAAACATTTTTCCTCAATTTAACTGACTGCTTATCCAATAAGATTTCTGAATATAAGGTGAGAGACAAATGGCTTTAATGTAAAAGAATTTAAGCCTTACCCTAAGATCGAACCCCTGGAGTTCAAATCTAATTTCCTCCCTATTGGACATTATAAAGAACGGCAATTTTCAAAATATCAATATGAGACCAAAACAGTAGAGATAATTATAATTGCAAAAATTGATCGGATATCTGTTTAGATTTTAAGAAAATGCAGAAAAAATGTTGAATAAAAAAGAAAAGCAACGACTTAATGTCTAAATTGCCCTACAAGAAGACATGAAAATGTGTAAATTATTTACCGAACACAAACGAAACTATAATAAAGAACATAATATACATTTTTATTTAATACAGTTGCTGACGGAAGTAAATATTTGACCATGATGCATATTTTTACAGTTTTCGTGGAATTTTTAAGGTTTGCCTGATACGGTTGCTACAGTTGATTACGGTTCTATATAAGTTATTGTAGACTTATAAAACAACTACCATGATATTAATTAAAACACTTAATTAAGTGCAATTAAATATAATATGTACATCTTCTTATCAATTTTTTAGTCATTTGGCTCTTGATTCACAAATTCAATACCCCTTCCCCTTACCCTCCCCCTTTTAACTAGGTTACGCGTTTGAGGCTCAATCAAACCGAGCTTACAACATTTTCAATTTTTTCGTGTGGGCTTTCTTCAGGGATTTCCTTTTTCTCTATTTTGTTATGCTATAGGGATTTTCTTATTCTCTGTTTTTTATGCTATTTGAAATCCGTGCACATGTATATTGTCAGTCACTGGTTAACATTTTTTCTAAGGTCTTTCTGCTTCTTGTTGTGGTACGGCAGTGAATATGAGTTAAGTTTGGTTTAAACTTCGCTGCGAATGTGACTTTCGTAAGTCATGACTTTTTCCGCGAAACTATTATAATAGAATGTTGTGCAACATGTTTCCGGTACCTGTCACAATCCTTCCACAAGTTACTGTGCAATATCACCGATTGAAATAAATGTATGAAATTTTTAACAAGCTGAAGTATGTTTGTTATCGTTTGTATTATAAGTGTTTGTGTTGAGATTGATGAAAATGTAATAAACTTGGTTTAAAAGGCCTAATACGTTTATGACGAGGATCAGCCTAATTATTCATTAAATCACTTTGGAAATAATTTCAATCATAAAAGCTCAAGTAATGTCATTATGTGCATCTATTATAATTGTGCTCAGAGTCACTCACCTTGATAATCCACAAAGAATGGGAAAATAACACAGACTTTTGCAATTGCAACGAAGAATTGTTCTGCAATTTTATAGCATTTTAAGGACAAGCACCACGATAATGTTATGAATAATAGAATCGAAAGAAGGAAATTTAGACACACAGTGATCGAGAAATCATAATTTTAAACCTCATTAAAATATTTCCAGGAAAATGCTTGTTTTTTAAGATAATTCGTGAAAATGATGGATCATTATGTGTGAATTTTTTTGAATTTTTTTAGGGGGGGGGGGGGGGGGGGGGCACTTTGCAATGCCTTTACACATAGTGTGATTTTGCAAAATGCAAAATGGCGGATAACTGGAAGTTAGGCTAGATATAATAGTAAATATTTCACATAAATAACTCAATTACAAATAAATCCCGTTAAAATTGAAAATGGAACAACCTTAGTACATGTTTTCGACTTGTAACTTTGTCAAAGGCGGCATTTTCCTACCATTTTAAGACGAGATATACTGATAAAGGGAAGTAATTCTAAGCCATTAATGAGAAGTTTTCAAACAGTATGACCTCCCGTAGAAACTACAAATCAGGTAAACAAAATGTTGTTATTTTAAAAGAGACACATCATTTCGAATCAGATATTAGCCTTAAATCGTAACATCGAAAGAAATTTAGAACTGATTATTTTTATAAAGTTGATTTTTAATTTAAAAAAAATCAATGCAAAATGCACAATAATTTTGTAACAGCATTTTTTATTAATTGCCTTACGTCTTATTTTTATACAATTTTCAATATTTTCTTATGTTTCTTGTTAAATTGTAAAACTGTTTTTGTCCGGTTTCATTTTGGTACCTTACCAGTAGTGCTGTGTGACTGTGTTTTATTGAAAATGAGTTCATGAGAGCATGGCAAATATGAATCAATTTTACGCAATCCAAAAATGGAAAGAATCAGTTTTACAAAATCACAAAAAGGATAGCAATCGGCATGAATATCAAAATCTTATTTTATTATTTTATTGACAATCTTTAAAATTCAAAAACAAAAATCTGAACAAAAACATAGGAATTTTGATGATATTGTTAAATGTGTTAAACCTTTGTGACCTCACGATTTGAGCCATACATCGTAAAAAATAAGGACATTCTAGACTATTCTATGTTTTCAATTAAAGTAGAAAGCCCAGTTTTTGTCTTTCTGTGACTGCAAATAAAAATAGCCATATTTTTATCAGATATATTTATTATATATTTGTATCAGTGCAACACATACTGTATTTATTTACATTATTACATAAGTAAATACGACCCGATAAAAACGAGAAGTGATATCTGGTATAATAATTATATCTTTACTTAAATAGAGATTACAGCGTAAAAAAGAAATAATATTATCTTAATTTAAATGTAGTAAACTTCTGAACAATATTATTGATTTGACAAATACTCCTGTTAAATATATTTTCATTAGTAAATGGTTGAAACTTAAAGATCATCTATTGTGACAGATTCTTTGTTATTTCAAGACATTGGCATGAAGTTAAAGACTTAAATTGTATTTTAGTTGTCGAAACTTATTTTGAAAGACCAAAGGTATAGGAAAGGCAAGTGGTACACCTAGACCCTTTGAACAAATCTAGCGAAAGATAATATTGTGTTGGCTTTTTGGGGTTTTGG